AGGGTGCACTCAGAGTGACCGGTGGAGCTGGAGCGGCCGGTCCTGGACCAAAATATATTTTTGGACGGTCCCATCCGGCTCTCTGAGTCACTGAACACCGAATTCGGTTGGAAGGGGGACCAACTTTAGTCCGGTTCGAAAAACGGGTCAGTTTGCTGATAAGACTGCAGAGAAGCCGGAGGGAGCTGCCGTCCATCAGCTCGCCGGAAGTGAATGAAACATCATTATATATTCTATTCCAAATTTGATGGTCAAGTTTAATTTTTAATTCTCTATAATCACAAAGTAATGCTGCACAACATTTCCTAAATGCATACAAATCTGTGATTTTAGTCTAGGTTGGGTATCTGGTCTTGAAGAATGAAGACTGAATGGCCATGCAACTATTTTTCTTTTTAATTTCCATCTGAAAAGCTTGAGTCTAGTTTTATCTCTTCACATCTTGCGTTTTTTTTGTTTTTTTTTGCTACAGACACCTTTCAAGAACTACTGACCCGCCTCAAACTTCAAACTGTTTAACAAGAACTAAAACAACCCAGTGGTTTCAGATGTTTGTTTTGTCTCACCATCTTTTTAAATGAACAACACTTCTTGACGTGGTTCATTACAACACCCACACAACACTGAAAACACAAACCTGATTAAGAGCTTTGCTGAGGTACAAACTTAATCATGATGAGATTGGCTTGTAAATTTTGCCTGTGTTCTGAAATCAAATTTTTAGACTCGGTGTGTTTTTAGTTAATGAGTAACATCCCAGCAATGGCCAATTACTGTAATTCATCGCGTGAACTGTGTAACTTCCTAAATTCAAAAAGAGGAACTGTGTTTGATCAGTAAAAAGAGTGCAAGATTGACACTGTCCTAGTATTGTATGGTCTTCTCAGGGGAAACATTAGACAGGAAATTGAGTGAAGCTATTTCAACGTGCTCACACTCAGCCTAGTAACATGGTTTTGACTGAATTGTGTAGGATTTGTTTGTACTCAGTCAGCCTCACCATTCGTCTCTTTCAGTCATGACATTTTTCTTTAAATTGTATTTTTTGTTCTTGGAAAGTTGACATGTCAGAACAAGACCGATTATTTTAAAATTGTAAATGTAAAACCTGAGATTATGTTTGCATGTGGTGTAAATCCAAGTACTATTTAAATGTAAACTGTGCAAAAATCTTCAGCTCTTCTTGATTTCTCAGTGGGACCCATGCAGTAATGTCAAGACTGTTGATGATCATGATGGATGACAGTTTGACCTGTATTGTCACAGCTAAGTGCAATTCACTGTGTTTGTACACATAGTGGTTTAAGTAGATAATATTCTCAGGCAAAGGCTTGGACGTGAACATTATACAGATAAAAATCTGAGTTTGGAAGTTGCAACATGGACCATGTGTCAGAGACACACCAAACTGACAAATGAGGTTTGTTGTTAAACTTCGTTGAGCACTCGGAGGAAGAAACTGGGGTCTTGTACTTTAGGATGGATGCAGTCAAGTGCATTTAGTAGGTAACCAGGCCAAGGCTGAAATTTGATTCAGTTAGGGAAACGACCCAAACTGGCCCAAGAAACTTATCTACCCAGGCAACAGGAAAACATGTATAGCACAGAAGTATCCAGGAGAGCAATAGACAGGAAGGTGGGCGACCACGATTGAGGATGCTGATGAAGTACAGAGAGGGTCAGAAAGAACTCCTTTGTGTCTTTGTGGATTTAGAACAAGCATATGACAGGGTGTTGAGGGAGGAGGTGTGGTATTGCATGAGGACATCTGGAGTGGCAGAGAAGTAGGTTAGACTGGTACAAGACATGTATGAGGACAGCAAGACAGTGGTGAGATGTTCTGTAGGAGTGACAGATGGCTTCAAGGTGGAGGTGGGAATGCATCAAGGATTGTCTCTGAGCCGCTTCTTGTTTGCTCTGGTGATGGACCGACTAACAGATGAGGTCAGGCAGGAATCTCCCTGGACTATGATGTTTGCAGATGACATTGTGATCTGTGGTGAGAACAAGGAACAGGTGGAAGAGAACTTGGAGGTGGAGGTATGCACTTGAAAGAAGAGAAATGAAAGTCAGCCGTAGTAAAACAGAGTACATGCGTGTGAATGAGAGGGAGGCTGGCGGAACAGTGAGGCTACAAGGAGCAGAGGTCACAAAGGTGCAGGACTTCAAGTACTTGAGTTTAACTGTCCAGGAAAATGGGGAATTTGGTAAAGAGGTGAAAAAGAGAGTCCAGGCAGGAAGCAAAGGAAAAGTTTACAAGACAGTTGTGAGACCAGCTATGTTGTATGGTCTAGAGACAGTGGCACTGACAAAAAGACAGGAATAAGAACAGGAATTTGCAGAATTGAAGATGTTGAGGTTCTCCTTAGGAGTCTTTATTCGCTTCTTCCTTTACAAGTCGCAGGGGTCACTGGTGCTCATATCCAGCAGTCACTGTGCAAGTACATAGCACTTTTTTTTTTTTTCGTCCAGTCAGTTTTTCAAACGTTAAAAATTACAAATCTGTCATGGCGACAGAGAACTTTAATTCATGTTTTTTTTCACGTTTTCACTTGGTTGTCTACTGGACAACTCTCAAGGTGAGATCTGGTAGCATGAGACGAAAATAGGTTGTCTCGGACAAACAGAAACCAGTTATGTCGACCCCTGTACATGTATGTATGCATGTATGTGTATGTGTTTGTGTAAATGTGATGTTGTGAATTTTTTTTTTAGCAAACTCATAAACTCATCTTTATGAGTTTAACTTTAACCCATCTTTAATTCAGCTCAAACTTTATATAAACTCATCCCTCACTCATTGAGTGATGAGTGAAGGATGAGTTTATATAATATCCAGGGAGGACTGTGTTTATACTATGGGCATTACATTTTTGTTTAAGGCCTTTCTGACCATCTTGCATCTAAATACTTACTGGACACACTGTCAGGAGGTACTTCATAAGTATTAGTATGCAAAGAGTTGCTGTGTAAGAAGACTAAATTCTAAACTGGATAATTAAAGGGTGCTGATGGGACCGGATGGAAGGGCCTTGTTGCTGCTAAGAATGTAACAAATGTGAATTAGAGAGAGGTGTCAGGAGAAGTTGGTGAGTCAGTGAGAACATCATTTGTATGCCAGTGCTTGCTGTGTTTGTGCTTCCTCTCACAATGGTTTGTTGTGATGAGGCCAAACTACTCGGTATGTGTTGTCGTCTCTAAAACTGTGCTCCCTAAAATGAAAAACTTTACAAATATTTTACAAAACATGCAGACCCATAAGGTTAAACAGATCACATATACAACGGATTATAGGAAATGAGTGAAGATATTGTGTTTCCTTGACAATTCAATTTAAAGAAATTCTAATTAAAAATCTAGCCTTTGTCACTGCTTTAATGTAGTTTCCTCTTTTAACAAAGCGTGTTTCTTCTTACACTTGAACAGTTTATCATGTACAGCTCTGTTTGCACTCTATAAAAATGACTCTACTATAGGGTTTTACAATAGCTGATTTGGTTATTATGGGTCATACTGATCTGTCATTCTGGAGCTAAATGTATTGCTGCTAGTTTGCAACATGATGTGTTTCTCAAGGCAGCTTCTTAGGAAACTGAGTAGAATGTGAGAATTTTCTGTTTGGTTTGTAATCAGACTAGCTGTGTAAACCCAATACAGATAGCAAGCGATTTCATTCAACCTTTATTTAGACAGGTTAATCCCATTGAGCCTCAAGGACTCATTTACAAGAGAGACCTGATTTCAACAAAGAATCATAACAATAGACAACAGCGACAACAATTTGCTCATTACTCATCGTTTGGCTTTTTAATTAATTTAAAATAAACGAGGTTTTTGCAAACTTGTAACTTATAGTTTACATTTGTGTAGTCTTAATCATTCATTCAGTCATTCATTCTTACCAAATGCAGTACACTACAACATTTATAGCCAAGGGTAATTTCCAATGCATGTACTCAGATGATCCTTTGTTAACATGGAGAATACATAAACAATTTAAAATATAAAACAGATTTAAACATTACACTTAAGTTCAGATATTAAAACAAAGTTAAAACAAATCACATTAAAATCACATAAAATGAAAGCAAGATGCAGTTATTCACAAATTAAAACACTAGTCTTTTTGAGAAACTAAAAAAAATATATATATATATTAAACTAATAATTTTAGTCTATTATTAAAGAACAAAAAGTATCTACCATATTTTTCGGCCTAAAAGTAGCTTTTTTGTGTTTTTTTTTGTTGCATTATTTGCATGTCCTGCGACTTATATGCTGAAGTGACGTATTTATGGATTTTTTTCCCATAATTATAAACCAATTTTTGGCTGAGATATGACCGTTTTCATTTATTCTGACTGAAAATATTAAATACTACCATTTTCAGCCGCTAGATGGTACTCGTGTACAAACCGGATTCCAAAAAAGTTGGTACACTAAACAAATTGTGAATAAAAACTGAATGCAATGATGTGGAGATGGCAAATGTCAATATTTTATTCGTAATGTAACATAGATGACAGATCAAAAGTTTAATCTGAGTAAATGTAACATTTTAAAGGAAAAATATGTTGATTCAAAATTTCACAGTGTCAACAAATCCCAAAAAAGTTGGGACAAGTAGCAATAAGTGGCTGGAAAAAGGAAATTGAGCATATAACGAACAGCTGGAAGACCAATTAACACTAATTAGGTCAATGACAACATGATTGGGTATAAAA